GGGGAACACAGAGGCTACAACTCCTGTTCTGCTGCTTCAGTTTGGCTCCTGCAAGGAGTTAGGTCCCCTCAGAGGCCGAGCCCACAACCCACTCATTCCCTTACACGCCTGCAGCACTCCTTCCACTGTCACACCTCCGTGTTTCTGTTTGGGAGTTAGAACTCTGACAGCCCCCCATGTGTTATTCTTGCCCCAAGAACTAAGTTAATTGTTTGTTCCTAATGAGTATCAGGTTAATCAGAGTATTTAGAGGAAACATGGATCTAGCAAAACCTAATATATTTTATAGAAATGCTTCAGTGTGGATTGAACTCTGCTGTGGTGTGTATGCTGCAGACCATACACACGTGGTGTGGGAGCTACCTACCCTCACCTCCCACGTGTGTGTAAGAACAAGCAGGGGATGGCCAAGTCCCAGTGCTATCGAGGACATGAGAAAGTGTCTCAGAGCAGCCCCAGCTGCCCATGGTAGAAAGCAGAAATATGGCTCTGGCAACCCCTGGGACCACTTATTTCCTGATCCTGATGTTTGGTGAGACATAATTGCCATAGAGTATTTGAATATACCAATTTGCTTTAAATCCATTGCAAAAAGCCCTCTGAAACAACCTTAGAAGTTTGCAGACCAGAAAACTGTAAAAACTAAATCCGTCAGGCAGTAGAAGAAATTACAATTCTGACTCCATATCCTGAACATTCCCATCTGAGCCCTACACAAACTTATGCAAGCACTGGGGATCAAAAACAAGGATCCAGTAAAGATTTATGTCCACAGGGAAACATTATTTCTGGTCCTTGACAGTACTGAGCTTTATACAGTATTCCACAAATAAATCATATGTGCTACTTCTGGACCACAGTTGTCAACCTTGGCTGCAGGAATAGGCAGGACACAAAAGCAGGAATTAAGCCCCTGGAAGAAAAAAAACCAGAGCAGGGGGTGGTGGTGGTGTTTGTTAACTGGTTTCTATTTGCTTCAGCATCAGTTGGGAGAACGATATACTCACATTAAGATAAAAAAAAAAAGGTAATAAATCTCTTCTCCCAGATTACACAGGAATGTTATATATTGCTTCCATACGATCAGTGATTCTAATTAAGCTTCCAGTCTGGAAATCTGTTGTGACCACAGCTTTTGCAACCTATTCTGTACTCTTTTGAAAAAAGAAAAGAGATGACAACATTTTGTGGCACTATTTTAAAATGTTTCTGTCTTTTCAAGTTTGTCCTCACATAGTACAAAAGAGATTTCTGTTAATTAGAATGAAGATAAATGAAGTGAAAAGGGCTATGAAGGATATTACTCATGTTTAACAAAATTAAAATCTGTTGTTCTGATTTCATCTGTATTAACATTTTATGAGTTTTGGGGTTTGGTTTGGTTTTGCTATTTTGGGGGTTAAAAAAAACCAACCAAACACAAAAAAACCCCAATCAAACAAAAAAAACCCCAGTCCACAACTCTGTCTTGTTTAAATTGACTGTGCTTGGAGGAGTACTGGGTGAGCCCAGAACAACTTCACAGTGTGTGATCAAAGAGTTTAGCACGAGAATTAATGCTTTAGAGACCCAGTAAGACAGAGAGAGTACTGGTACAATATCTGCTGCCCTTGGTATGTGGCAGATATGTTGTTTGTGTCACTTCCTGAAGGTTTTTCTGTATGAATTGCTTCGTGAAATCAGAAACATATATGTTGGAACCAATTAGCTTAATTGTATCTTGTCAGCAAGCACTGGTTAGCACAAACATCTGTAACACACTACAGTATTGCCATTTTAAAACATGTCTTAGATAAAATCCTAGCCTGCTGAAGTCAATGAGTTGTGCATTTCTCAGGAACGAGACTTCACATACCAAATTCCAAACTTATCAGGCATAGAGCCATAAGAGATAAGGGAAAAATAGGGAGTCCTGCAGTAATTTTCCAAATCCTTGGGGCTTTGCTTTCACCAGATGGGATGGTGCTGTTGGTGGAGGGCTGTGAGGAGCTAAACCCTCCATGTGTTGAACTGCAGTGGCTTTTCTTCCAAAGCACAGAGCCAGAGGGGCCCTTTGCACAGCAGGACATCCCAAACCCTCGGTACACATGTGACAATTCCAGGCAAACAGGCCTAAGCTTCCTTAGCCAGGCCAATTACTTAATGAAAACTACACAGCTTATCATCACCATGGTCCCTTGAGAGCCAGGCAGGCTTTTCATGTGCCTAATCCCTCCTGTGCTCAACTTCAGAACACGTATAACACATTTAATGAAGCTTGAAGCTGTATCTGTTCTATATGTAACATTTATATAGCACTGGAAGGACAGAATCACAATGTATTTGCAGTACAGATTTTCCTCTTGCTGCATTTTTACCTAATTGGAAGCAATAAAACATGAGGATAGGGTCTTTATCTGGACCAAACACAAAGTAAACTCCACCAAGTACAATCTAAACACAAAAATCTCTTTTCACAATCATCAAGAATGTGTTTGAAAGAATGTCAAACAGATGCCCCAAGAAAATTACTTCCCCTGCCTCTTTTCTCATCCCAAACCCTTATTATTACTTTTTGATTGATTTTTCTTGGCTCTTACACTCTCTCATGCTGATCTTCTTAGGTGGGCTCTATACAACCTTCCCAGCTTTCTTTTATCCCTCTAGTCTTCCTGCCAATAAATTACTCTACTTTTATGAAAGATTTCTTTTTTATTTCATAGCCATTTTCTCTTGATCCAAAATGAACTATAACTCAGTGGTTGGGTGCTTTGTTTTTTAATGCAACACTTGGTCTGCCAAACGCCTTAAAAATGTATTTCAGCTTCTCTGTTTATTCGAAAGCTGCTTCTTCCAAGAAGGCTAAGAATAATGTGGTTACCATAGTTTCCTTATCCACCACCAATAAAATGCAACCTGGAATACAATAAAACAAAGACAAGACTACTCAAGATGTGAGTGAATGACTGAACACCAAAATCTTCACCCCCCATCACTCCCAGCACTACAGAAAATACTCGAGACTCATCAATACCCAGCTTTTGGTCCAGCAGGGAAGATGAGGATAAGCCTGTCTGACTAACAGCTATTTGAGATATTTCAATTCCAACACTTAAGATGTCTGTTCCTGTAAAATTCCTGCCTCACAGATTTAGTGTTTTGCTGCAGAGTTTTTGTATTTTACTGTAATCTCTTGTTCTGGAAGCAACTGTGTAGACAGCACTTTGCCAAGGCTCACTGAAGTTAAGTGATGGATTAATTACCCATAGGAACCAGTCAGCAAAGTAAATAATGTACTGTTTGTTCTTATAGTTTTGTTGGCTCCTGAACAGGCAAGATTCTAGGGAACAAGCCAAAAATAATCCTTTTTCTTTCAGTCAACTGGCCAATAAAACCCCACATATGCTTCAAAGATTATACAAATTACACCTGCTTTGGACACATCCATTTGCCTTCCTGATTAAAAGTGATGGAATTTTACTCTAATAAAATGAACTTCCAAGAAAAGAAAGAAAAAATTGTTCTCAATAATGATGAATAATGAAACAGAAAAGCACCCACATGCATGATGGATATACAGACCTGCTGACAAGCTTATTTTTTTCCTGATTTTAAAGAGTTGTGAAGATTTTCTTCAAAGAAAGTAAGATGTTTTGCCTTTTCCTTTAAAAGAAAACAATACAAAAACCTAGAGGATATTCCATTTGCTGACACACAGTGACAAGACTCACCAAGGCAAGCACTTGAATGGGAGGGATGCAGAATCCTCTTCCCACACCCTCAGTGTGCACGATGGGACTGACTCCTGTGGTACCTGGCACTCTCTCACAAACACACCAGGCAAATGTGGGAGGAAGCAGCTCAAGATTTTCTGGTGTTCTACTCATGTTTGCTTGACAGGGACAACAGTCCAAGACAGTTAAGGTTAAATCAAAAAGCTTTGCCATGGATATAAGCAATAGGGGAAGAAAATAAAGTTTAACTCCCTTCCTTACCCCAGGCACCCAGGGCTGTAGGCAGGGATTCTGAGCACTAGGAGCTGGAAAACTGCTGGAAGAGTATTTGCTTTTGCTGTTTTTGAAGAAAAGCTGTTATCCTCACTGTGCAGCTTTCTGGAGCTTTTTCCAGCCCCCAGAAGCTGCACCCAAAATCATCACTGGGTGCATCGAACATATACACAGAGCCTCAGTCCACATAATTTCTGTTGTAGTTTAGCCACAAGACAATATAATACATCTTTTATTCTTGCCTTCTTACCTTGGGAAGGTTGTGCAAAGGTAACAGAGAGAAAGAAGGTGTAAGAGTGCAAGAGATCACTCATATGGTGAACATGCTCCACTCTTTCAATGCAAATTCAGCTCACTGAAAAACCATTCTGTGTATAAGGGGCTGCCAGTTCTAATGCATACGAAAAAAAAAGGGTATTTTTGCAGAAAAAAAATCTTAGATCCTGTTAGTATGTTGCTCATTGCATCAGTTAAACCAAGTAGCTCATTTTTAAATTGCTGATGTCAAGTGAATCATTGTCAGCACTACAAAAGAAAATAGCTAAAAGCAGCAACTAAAAAGGCAGGTCTTTCACATCCCTGGAGTGAATTTACTGGGGAACAGGAAAAAGCAGTGAAGACCAAGCCTATATTAAACTTGGCACCCTTCTTACCAACCAGTAAAGAACAACGTAGACCAGGGTTTTTTTCAACATTTCCCTTATGCCTTCAGTGCACCACATTCCAAGTGTCACACCAGCCCTGGCTGGGCTGCTCATCAGTGGTTTAAAACTTCTCATCCAAAAACACCCAAGAGGAGAGTCACCTGTGACCCTCCTTTCCTTCAGGAAGAGCACCTCGATGGAAGGCACAGACCCTGCTGCTACCCAGATGTAAGTGGTTCCCACAGTAAATGGCCCTGGAAGCCCCGTCCACTTTGCCATTACCAGTCAGGCTGTTGACCTGTCCTGTGGTTAACACCCAGAACCGGCATCCATCCTTGTCCTGCCCGGGAGAAGCCCCGCAGCCCCGTACCTCGTTGATGGCCAGCTGCTCCCCGCCGCCCCCGGGGTGGCCGTAGCGGTGGTTGGAGCTCCGGAAATCCTCGTACAGGTCCTCCTCGCTTCCCACATCGTCCGTCAGAGCCGTCTTATCCAGGGCCCCGTCAGCGATCACTGCAACAACAACACGGACACGTTGGGGTGGAGCACCAGACCCCCAGCAGCACTGCCCCAAAGGTGTGAGCTTATTGGGGTGAGGGGCACTGTGACACAGCACAGGGGGGAAAAAGACAAGGAAACCACATCAATGATTTCAGGGCACAATTCCAGCCCCGTGCATTCCCCTTTTTTCCCAAGAATTTTTCTCCATTCGTGTTTTGTTACCATAAACGGTTGCGTCTTTTTGTAGAGTGGAGAGTGTGATTTAAAATAATTCAACAACTGTTGCGTGTTGCAAAGAAAAGATTGAGGAAGACTAAGAAAACAGGGTCTGAAAAAAGGCACAGGGCAATGATGACACAAATGTGATTTCATTAGGACACTGGCGTGTTGACAGGAAACTTGACTAGGTAACAAACTCATGTCTGCCACTGTGAGGATTATGATTTACCAAATCTCATCAGGCCAAAGAAGCTCTCACCCTGTGGGAAAAATATTCATGCATTTCTGTTGCCTAAAGGGTGTTTGCTCCAGAATTATCCATTGTTACCACAGGAGGGCCATTCTGCTCAGCACAGCCCCGAACAAGCTACAGGTAATGGAGGGTTCACGATCTGTAGCTAGAACAAGCACTGAAGTCTCAAGATATAAGTACAAGCCTGAGAGATGTAAAATTATGGCATTTATGCTCCTTGAACAGAAGAAAATGGCACTTCATCTGTTGCACAGCCAGGAACTTTTTCCTGAAGTCTCCTCAAGGTATTAGCAAATACCCTTCAGTGTTATGTAGACCAATCATTCTTCCCATCCCTGGGCAGGTAACTGAGCATAAACTTTCTGTTCTCAAAATCTGAAAAATGTCAGTGATTAAAGAAAACATTTGCTGACATTCATCTGGATTAGGAACTGCTGGGGCAACAGTTTTCATGACAAAGATTGAAGATGAAGTGAAAACAGATGTTGTTATCAGCACTCCTGATGACAGTCTTTGCTGTCCAAGTTACACACTATGTCACACCCAAAATTCTTGCAGAACAGGTGGAAAAAAACACTTTGAGCTTGACCTTGTAGAGCTTGGATAGGAAAAGCACTAGTCAGAGTCTGGGGACACACAAACCTGCTCTTGAGCCCTAATTTCGTTCCACAGTGCAAGTGCATCTCTTGAACCTAATTGTGCCAATGGGCCAAAAAAAAGGGGCTAATGATTCATTAGCTTATTATTATCTGAAAGCAAAGCTCCTCAGTAATACAGAATAAACTGCTCTCAGAGGTTACAGCCAGACCTGCTAAGCTCATTCTCATCAAAGCTTTCAATACATGGGATGGGTTGCTAAGGCTGTGCCATCCGACTACTTGTAAAACAGTGAGGTGTAAATTCAGTGTAGCAGCTCTCAGTTCAGTGCAGTAACTTGACATCAAAATGATGAGTATGAGCTATTTTTAAACTAAATACTTGCCTATTTATGTTTTGAATTCAGTAAATACACACAACACAGCAAAGATGGATTCATTGTCTAAACCTGGAACTCCACTCACTGTTGATGGCAATTCAGGACACGGAGGTGCATATGAGCTTATGATTAAAGCAGAATTTTCTGTGCAAGTGTGGAACTACCCAACCATTCAACTTTAAGTGACATTTCACACAAAAAATGAAGCATTCTCCTAGCTTTGCTCTGACACATCACATCATTCATTATACAGAAGTTCTGTACTGAATATGTGCCAGTAGTATAGATTGCATATAAAGCAGTTCTGGGGCTAAGACCAGGTCCATTAATATAAAACTCAAAACCAGCTGAAATGCCACTGATATTATAATTTTACGCAGAGTTACCATGGTTTGCACTTAAATTTATGTTTTTAAAGACCATTGAAGTATCACTTTTTCCTCATACACTGTCTAAAAAACATTTGTCTGATAGTAATGAACAAATTTCAGTGTGTTAGTGCAGCAAGAGAAACAAATGAGAAATGTTTTTCAAAAACAAATAAAAATAAATCATTTATAAGAAGGAAGTCAGCAGTCACTTAATTCAAAACTTCCTTTGCAATCTTTGGTCTTATGCTTTTCCCTTATTTTACACATGGCTTCATTACTTTTGCCTTATGCATCTTTTGCTATTTTCACTGCTAACAGTAATTTTCAGCTTGAAAAATGTTCATTGACATCTTTAAAGCTTTTTTTGTTTTTTTGCCCCCACATTTTCCTATTTGTTCTCTGGTCAGTGCTTAGATGAAAAAGCAAAAGCTCCAGGGAGATATTTATCTGTGTTACTTAAAATGCTGTGTACCTCTGCTAAGTGCCTTGAAAGCTGTGCCTGCTTTTACTAGAGATCTGTTTTTCTTCTCTGATCTTACCAAGCTCATCAATTCTCTGCAGTCTCAAAACCTGCTACTGCATTTAGGATTAGTTTTCCTGACAGAAAAGTCCTGATGAACATACTGCACCAAAAACACAGTTCACAGGCAGGAGGAAGCTCTCAAACCTTGAAGCAGAGTGGCCCGAGGTAGCCATTACACATTTTCCCAAACTAACTAATGCTGCAGGGAAGAATTAAACTAGTGAAAAATAAGAATTTGTCCTGTAGCAGCTGACATGAAAGACATGACCACAGAGATATAAATAAATAAAACAGTAGTCTGGAATGGTGACCCAATGCACTAGAAAACCATCAAGGAAGTAGGAGAATGAAGGCTTTTAACATAGGTACTGACTTAACATGCACAGCATAAACTAGGTCAAGTAGAAGAGAAGCAAGCACTATACAAAAATCTCAAAAGACAAGTTAGCAGAGATTTCTGAAATAGTCTATCAGCTTCCTCAAGAGCACAGCACTGGGTGGACAGGCTGCTATTAAACTGCACAGCAGCTGACCCTGATGCCTCATTCCTTCCCCATCTCTGTTTAACACTGAAATCCATTGGTACAGTCACGTCTGGCCTCTCCATGTCCCTCTGAAACTGCTCTGACCTGTCCCTGCCAATCAGGCAACACCAAGGAACAATGTTCTGTCAAAAACTAAAGCCATGTATCAATTAGCTCAGGCAGACTTCTCCACATTTCATACCTCTGTCCTGATAGATTTCACTAATTGTGGCAACAAATTCCATAGACAGGAGCAGAAGGAAGGCACATCACTAACATTTAGTACAACAACCTTCTGTACAAGTATTAAAACTCTGCTTTATACTATTGTTAGTCCAAGCCCAAGCTCAGGGATTTATGTCATTACACTACAAAAGCAGATGGATAATTCTAGCAATAGCGGCCCCTGAAAGAATGACACATGAACCCTTTTTTATGCATCCATACAGATAATAAGGTGTCAAGAACTGACTCCATGAAGAAATATCTTGAAGTATGAAGCAGCAAAACTCATACAAAACATAGCACTGAAACCAGCACCTAGCCCTGGTGGTCTGAGTCCAAGTGCCTGAGTAGACAGCACTTAGGCTACGTGCAAGGACAGTCACAAAAACAAAAGGGAAGAGCTCTATACAAATTTAATGAAGCTTGATCAAGGTGTCCAGGAGAAGGAGGTGTATGGGTTCCCCCTGACACCTTCCTGCAGGCTTTGGGATGCAGGTATAAGCAGGCAGCAGTGGGAAGGTTCCTGGCGGGGCTCAGCTTGTGCCCCCATCTTGCTGAAAGGTGGTGCCAAGCAACTCTAAAAGAACAGTTACAGAGCTCTCCATCCCATCAGAAAGCCACTGGAGCTGTTACCAGCCCTGGCTTCACACAGAACAGCACTCTGTGCCTGCAGTGAGGGACAAGCCACAGCTGTACAACTCATTGCCACCCCAGCCAGTGGCCTGCAGCTGCTCCCTGCTTAGAGGTACGCTGGGATAATTCAAAGGCAGCTGCCTGTACAGTAGGATTTTTACTCTCGGGAGCCACAATAAAGCCTCTCTGACACTGGGGAGCAAAACATCTGGGCTATGCTGGACAGCCTCGATCTTCATGACCAACAGAGATGGCAGGGAGGGGAAAGAAGGGAGAAGAGGTTTTGTGTTGTTCGTCAAACTGGTGGGAAGCCAAAAGAAGTTGGGATTAGATGTTCTACTGAAGGTCTCAGAAAACAAGTGTTAACCATAGTCCAGAGTTCAGTTAAGACTAGTGTCACCTACTACAGGTTTGATATGTCTGTGCTCCTCTGTCAAAGGATGGACCTGCTTCATACATTCCAAATGCCAGGAATTAGTGAACACAAGTTGTTGTTGAAAAAAAACCAACCAACAAACCAAACCAAAATAACCTCCAAACCCCCCATACAGCTACCTCCACCAAAAAAAAAAGTTAAAGAAAAGTGTTCTGCAGAAGCACAGAATAAATTTCTGGACCAGTTTCCTCAGAGGAGCTGGACACTACAGTCCCAGACTTTTAACAGAGCTCTCTCAAAGTCACAGAGGTTTCTGTCTCAGCTGGAATAAACCCCGGCAGCTCCCCGCTGGCGAGGAGCTCCAGACGTGTCTGGGTCAGAAGCCTGACCCAGGACTGAAGGAAAATGGGCTAGAGGCATTTTCCTAAAATGTTGCTTATCTGTTTTCATTTGACTTACAGTTTACAGCTTTTAGGGGTAAGGAACCCCTGATGATTAGGGACAGCTTGAAAAGCCAAGAGCATTTGTAGTTTATTAAAAGCACATTATATTGACAAGAGGAACAACTTTTGTGTATTTGAATTATCTCTTTCAAGTGTGTTTTTTTCAGTACCACATCCACCCATTTCATTTGTCTCTGTAGCATTTACATTTAAAATAATTCAGCAAAATAATAGTGGAAGCCTGATTTACACTCACAGAGCAAATTAATTCAGAGCTAACAACATCATCCCCTCTGCCTCACTGAGCACAGATTGCTGTGGTTGTGTGCAGCGCCCACAGGAAAGCGCAGTGCAGCTGCTGAAGGAAGTACTTCAGGAGACTGAAGATGATAAACAAGTAAAGGGAGTGTGTGGGGTGGGGAACCAAACCCAGACTACACTGCCATGTGAAAAGGGCCCCTCTACCCTC